ATCTGATTATAAAAATTCCTGGTCAAAGCTAATTAAAATGCCACATATATAAAATAGTTTCGTTTTATCAAATATTGTAAAAAAACACTCCTGAGGTTGTGGAGTTCTTGGAAATCCGAATAATGCAAAATTTATAAGAAATATATCAAAGTAGCAACATATGTGCTCAATTTATATACAAATAATTAAACATTTTTCCTAGAAGTTAAAATTTTAATATGTATATATTTGATTATCTACCTGCCCATAAAACTCATGCAAAACAATTCATATTAAAAAAAAAACAATTATTCATTATTTTTTTCTTCACGTTATTCAAATTAACTACCTTTATTTCAGATTCCAAATTACCGTCTCAAAAAATACATTTAACATTTCTAAAAAAAATATAAATATAAAAATAAATATACAACATTTAGTATTTTTATACATGTTACAATTGTTATAATAGACTTACATGTCTAGTTGTCTATGTATATTAATGCAAAAAAATCATATACAACTTTGTTCCAATGAAATATTCAAACACCTGCGATACTTCGCATATCTAAATTTGCCGCCTTACAAAACACACCCTCTACTTTCTCCGCCTCGGCAACCCCAATCCTTCGTCCACCCCCAATCTGGCAACCCTGCCCGACAGCCCCAGGAACGTTTCGTGGAAAAGCGAATCATTACATGTGCTAGGTTATGGTGTTCAAGACTGTTCTTTGATAAAACAAACAGAAAATTCAACAATAATATGGTTGTTATTAGTGATAATAGTTCGGAATAAATAGGATTTATGATAGAGGATACATATTTAATATTTTTAATGTATTTTGTGTAAAATAGAATATATAAAGTGTAATTGATATAGTGCTTTTTATGATCCATAAAATGTTTTAATCGACTAGCAATTAATATGTATCATAAGTAATTGTAATTAAATCATAGAAATTTATATCAATTATTGATGAACAAAATATGTGGTGTAGATAATTTGTTAAATAAACATTTGTATTAATAAAATTAATATTGGTGTTCAAAGCAAATTTTTGCACGAAGATTTGACTAAGATTTTTGAGGTAAGTGTTTTTCATTAATTCAAAATGGTAATTGAAAAATATAAATTAATTCTGAAGCAGGTGCATGCTTCACAAGATAGCAGATTTATTATTAATATTGTTATTGTTTCATAAAAAACTAGTTGGTGTTGGTATTTTGCCTTGAGGCAAGTTACATAAACTTTCCGATATGTGTGAATAATCGACTTAATCAATAAAAAATAAATTAATTTTTTGAGTGATTAAAATAATTCCGAGTGGATTTATAACACATATTTGAAAATGAACGCACACGTTAACTCGGAGTATTTTCTAAAAGCAAATTTTCAAAAATCAACAATTTTTATAATTGAACCAGTTTCCGTAGGATTTTAATGGTTTAGTACGTTAAGTTAACATTAAGACCAAGTACTCAATCGTTATACCTTGTAAATCGTCTAATTTTAAATTTAACAAACGTCAAAAAAACTACTCATTTTCTCAAACTCTGAAGAATTTTTAAAATTAAACTACTTGTCGTGAGGCCGTCATATATCAGTAAGTTCTATAAGACCATGATATATATCGCTAAACAAAAGTTCCATAAAAATCGGCTTAAATTTTTTTTTCAACAGTTAATTACAAGAAAACGGTTCGGTAAATTTTCACCTAAAACTAATCAGTATCATTTCCAACTAATAACTTTCAAACTGTTTTCGATTTTTCAAAATCGACTTGGTAGTATGAGCACTTTTAACAAAAGTTTAACACTTTTTTCCAAATTACAAAGAAACGGCTCGGCCGATCGCTGCACAAAACTGAGAAAAATTAATCTACATCGAAATACATGGAAAGGCTTTCAAATTTGTATTATCAGTTCAGGCATTTTTTTGATCAAATGTGCATGACAAACTTCTTCTGGGGGAAGTTAATAATTCATATTAAACATATGAACACCATTTATATTTTAATTAAATTTAAATTAAATAATTTGAATTAAATTAAATTAAATAATATTAATTTGAATTTGAAACATTAAATTAAATAATTCATATTAAACCTGTGAACACCTTTACAATTTGGTACTTTCTTAATTTTTTTTTTTTTAATGTAAGTGAAGTTACAAATGTTTTAATTCTATGATTTGTTTTATCATCAGAGTAAATACGAATAAATTAATTTAATTAAGTTTGGAAATAAAGTCTTGTCATGTAATGTCAAGTATTTGACAGAACTCTGATAATGAGGCAAAAAACTATTTCTCATTTTATATATTACTAATGAATTAACTAACTAATTAATTTGATATTGGGAATAAGCCATACATTTTTTTATGTGTCTACTGACATTTTAGTCACAAAGAAGAATGTAAAATGTTACCTTAATATAGTAAATATACAAAAAAAAATAATAATAATAATATACGCACGCATTGGATATTTTAAAGTATTCTTTAATACCATGACCTCTATCTCCATAAAAAGTTTCATCAAAATTTGCAAAAAAAAAATGCAACAACCTAATTACTAAGAAATTACCCTTTTTAAATTTTAAAAATAAAATCAGATACAGGACTTTTATACAATTTTTTGGATTTTTCTGCTTATTATAAAAAAACTGCTTGGCTTATCGTGCCACAAAATTAATCAAAACTAGTATTGATAAAGTCAAATAAAATGGCTTTTAAATTTATAGCAAAATACATACATATATACACACATACTATTTCCAATTTAGATATCAAACGATTCAAAATCTCTTTAACCGTCGAGAGAAAAAAAATCAAACTAAAAATCGGATTTTCTGGCGGAAACAAAGTTAATAATTCTGAAAGTTAATAATGTCGAAATGTACCAGCAGTTTGTCTTTGGGAAAAATGCCACACAACTAGATAAAACATTTATGTTATAATTAAATTTGAAACATCACAAATTGAAACCTTCTGGTTTATGGTGAACCGACTATAAAATCTTTTACTATTCCACAAACTAGTTTTAAGTATTTATAGATTAAACTTACACAGTCGGTTTGTGGTTACCCTAACAATATACTCAAGTGTTTACTACGTTATAGAACACACGTTTTTATTGAGCTATTTTCACACGATTGTGGGAAAAGTGTTGGGGAAGGATCAATAATGTCTATTTTTAACGCAATAAATAGATATTCGGGTTTAAAACTTAATTGTGAAGTACATACTTATTTTTTTCCACTAGTTCACAGAATTAGAGATAAGATGGTGCTTGGTAGTAATAAAAATATTTAACTAAAATTACGGATATTTTTCCAATTAAGTGTACACGATTATTTGTTAAATACTAAATGTTGATCGTATACCTTAGGTAAAATAGTATTTTTTAAAACATGTTTAATAAATTTAATTAAAATACTTAAAATTATTGAATAAATGATATAAATAATTATTGATTTATGAATAAATTAAGTTAATTTATTATAGTTTGTTATAGATTATTTCATATATTACAGAGATTTTGAATAATTAGTGATTTTTTATCAGGTTTTTTCAATGTTAAAACAAACATGTTCTACTTATTGTTATGAATTGTTATTTAAAAAAA